TATATACAACAAATATGAGGCCCCCAATTTTTCTTCTAAGCTCAGTTTTCTCATGTGTAAGAGGGTCATTGCAAAAATCAAAATGCAAATGATCTGAATGTCTTCTGTAAGCTGTAAATCACTATACAAATGCAAAGTAGTAGGGAAATGTGGCAGATCTTAATCAAGTAATCAAAGTTAACATTATCAATAATAGGACACAATTAGCATTTTGTGCCCCTTGATAGAATACAATGACAAGAATCACAGCAGCACTTCTGGGTTATTTTGTCAAAGATGAATAAAATGAATCTAATCACAATAAAATATCAGACAAAACTACATTGAGGGATATTCTACAAAATTACTGGCCTGTGATCTTTAAGTGGCAAAGTCATGAAGGTCAAGAAAAGACTGAGGAACTGTTCAGGATTGAAGAAGACTAAAGAGATGACAACTAAATACAATCGATGATCCTAGATTGAATCTTTTTGCTATAAAGGACATTATTGGAATACTTTGTGAAACTTGAATGTGGTCTGTGACCTAAATGGTAGTTTATGCATCAATGTCAAATTCCTGATTTTGGTGGTGGTAGCTGTATTGCAGTTATGGAGTCCTGGTGGCGCAGTGGTTGAGCGTTTGGCTGCTAACGAAAAGGCTGGCAGTTCAAATCCATCAGCCACTCCTTGGAAACCCCATGGGGCAGTTCTACTCTCTCCTATAGGGTCGCTATGAGTTGGAATCGACTTAGCAATGGGTTTTTTGGTTTTTTTATTGTGATTATAAAAGACAATTTCCTTGTTTGTAGGAATCGCACAGTGATGAGGCATAATATTGTCAGCTTACTCACAAACGGTTCAAGAAAAGTGTTCTGTAAGTTCAGTAAGCTTTTCTGTAAATCTGCAATTGTTTGAAAATAAAAAAATTTATCTTTAGTGTAAAAAATATAGTTGAGAATTTTCTCTGCAGTCTATAGCTGGATTAAGAGATCATATTGTGGCCCAATTGCTTCTTCCTGTTCCAGTGAACATTCATAGTCAAATGAGGATAACATGATTGAAAATGGAATCCTCTAAATCAGAGGTTGGCAAACTTATTCTGTAAAGGGTCGGATACTAAATATTTTAGACTTTAGGGGCCATGCACTCTGTTATAATTACTCATCTTTACCATTGTACTGCAAAAGAAGCCAGACAGTACATAAACTGAGTGTGGCTGTGTTCGTATAAAACTTTATTTATGGACACTTAAATTTGGCATAATTTTCATGTGTTAGAAAAAATTTTTCCCCAACTATTTAAAAATGTAAAACCCATTCCTAGTGCGAAGGCTGTACAAAAACAGGTGGATTTGGCCAAGAGCCTTAATTTGCCCTCCCCTCTCCAACACTTTAGATTTTCAATGGGCATAGAACAGGTTACATCATTAAGCAGATTATTAGCCTCCATGAACAACTGCCTCCTTTGCCATGAGACCAGAACTGGATGGTGCCTGGCTACCATTACTGAACATTTTGATCACAAATTTTATTGAATTCTAATCAAAATGGGGAAAATACAGAATTTCAAATTCTCATGAAATCCAGACTTTCTGGAGCCATGGAGTCTGGACGACCCCTCAAAACTATTGTCCTAAGATAATCTTTATATCGTAAACCAAAAATATCCCCTGAAGTTTCCTTAAAACCAAACAATAGTTTAGCTTAACTAGTAAAGAATGTCTACCTTGAGAATTATGCTCCTTTAAGATCAATCCATATGGGATCAAATGGACAACAGCAACTTGAAAGATTAGATAGGAAACTTAGAGGGGAGTGATTTTATGTTAATGGAGGAGGAACAACTCAGAAAAGGAAGGTGAGAATGGTTGCACGACTTTAAGAATGTAAACAATGTCACTGAAATGTACATGTAGAAACTTGAATAGGTGTATGTTTTTGTTGTGTATATTGTCAACAACAAAATAAAATAAATTTCAAAGAATCTATACATATGAGAATTACAACTTTAAGGGACTAATTAGAGAATCTGATACATAGACTTTGCAAGATACAGGTGAATGCTTAGAGGGTGAACAGACCCTGCTTAGGAAGATTCATGACCCTTTCTGGCTCCTAGTTACACACATTTCTTCTGTCAGGTGGTAGCTAAATCCTAACCCACAAATTCCAATCCTTATGAGGGTTTGGGATCAAGTGAAGCTCATTCGCTATTAAAAAAGTAATTTGTGTCAAAACATCTACACACAAAAATGTTCTGCTTAGCTTGGTACAGTGAAGGGACCCAGTTAGAGAAGTGTTTCTACAGTATTTATCTAGTAGAAGCGCACACTCTGGGCTTAAGGTGAGGGATTAGAAACACAATAATACACAATTACTGTTTTTCAGAAGTTGAGAGAACATTGGAATAAATCACAAGGGAAGAAGAACAGTGGAGACTAAAGCAACAGTTAATTGGGAAAGAAAGGAAAGACTGATAAGACTAATTGCATAAAGTTAGCTGAGGTTCTGAGTGTCTAGGAAATTATGGTTTCAATAATAAAACGAGGGGATTTGTAGCTAATATACCATGGACTGCCAGAAGAACAACCAAATTTGTCCTGGAAGAAGTACAGCCAGAATGCTCCTTAGAAGCAAGGACGGCGAGACTTCGTCTCTCGTACTTTGGGCATGTTATCAGGAGGGACCAGTCCCTGGAGAAGGACATCATGCTTGGTAAAATAGATGGTCAGCAAAAGAAAGAAAGACCATCAACGAGATGGATTGGCAGCGGCTGCAATGATGGGCTCAAGCATAGCAATGATTGTGAGGATGGCGCAGGACTGGGCAGTGTTTCTTTCTGTTATACATAGGGTCGCTAGTTGACTTGACAGCACCTAACAAGCTAATTTGTGAGGAAGAGTTCCAAGACATTTTGATATCTAACAATCTTATATCCACCTAAATATAAGGTTCAGAATTCCCTTCCAGTCGCAGACATTCACTCGAATTACTGAAAAGAATAAAATTCACATATAATCAGAAGATATATATGTACACACACACATTTTATCTTGTTATCTATAAGCATAAAGGCCACTGTGACTATATAAACTCCTAGTTTTTCATAAAGTTGTTAGTTTTTTTTTTTTTTAATAAAATCAGAGTTTTTCCAAAAGAAACTCACTGTAACAGTTATCCTGTTGAAGTCAAGTATTGTCCTAACACCTTCTTCTTCCTTTCATGGAACATTAAACCACCATTCTAAGGCACTGAAAAGACTTATTACTCAAGCTGAAAAAAAGCAGCTCTGGCCTGTGGGAGCACATGTTGCTTCATCTCAGAGCTCAGCAGCCCTTGTGGCAGGGAATAACGGGAAGTCAGTGAGGGAAGGACCATGCAAGACAAGTCCAAAGATTCTTCAACAAGAGAAACCCCACTAATCACACATTACCAAACACTGACTGACAATGATTAAGGTCCAGTTAGTATACATATTTTTTTATTTCAAATAGTCCATATCTCCTTCAGAATATAAGCACACAAGTAAAAATCCAAGTTCATTTTTTTTTTTTACTTCCAATATAGAATGCTATTTTCTATGAAGTATGTGCAAACCCCTTTGTGCTAACTGGTGGGTGAATTTCTCACACCCTTTTCACAGTGGGCACTTTACCAGTCTGCCCATTGCTCAAACGCTGACTTTACACCAACTTCCTCTCTCTTAAACCACCATTCTTTTTCTGGAGATTTTTCTCTTAAACGTAGTCTGGACTTCCCATACTTGTTTTGTGACTGTTACTTCACTGGTTCCTTACTGCAGCAAACTGTTTTCATTTCCTAGTATATTTGGACAATGTACTAAACAGGTACCAGCTAATATAGAGATTCCTGGAGAATATATACTACCCAAGCTATTTAATATGATAATCCTTTATTCTTTTGGCACATTTGATTCCTTGCATTTTCTTCATTTCTGTATTACAGTTGCGGCTACCAAGAAACTGGATAATCAGTCCCTCAAACAACGTTTGGAATTACTAGACATAATTATTAGGGTATCCTGGTTATTTGTAACAGCTGACTGTGTCTAGTCCAACTTCTTATATAAAAAAGTCACTCTCAAGAAAAGTAGCCACTGAGTTTCTTTTGTAAAAAGGTAATTTAACTGGCTTTCCTCACTATTGCCATGCAGGCTGTGCAAATGCAGGAAATCCCTTTTTATAAAAGGTAAAACCAGAAAAAGACATTTCACATTGAATCAAACAAACAAACAAAAATCCTTCATGGGAATATGTCCTAAGTAAATAATCAATTATATGGACAAAATTTTATGTACACAAAATTTTTGAAACATTATTTATAATAGTGAAAATTAGAGATAACCTAAATAGTCAACAATATGGTTAAATAAACTGAGTGGCATCCATTAAATGGAATACTATATAGCCATGAAAATTATGTTTTTGTAAAAATTTTAATGCCATAGGAAAATGTGGCAGTGCTGAAGAAAAAAAAAAAAAAACTGGTTATGAAATTGTTTACCCTAAGATCCCAATTGTGTAAGAAAGTATATAATACACATATAGGCATAGAGAAGGGGAAACATCTATTAACAGTGGCTACTTCTGGGTTGTGAGATTATCAGTAATTATTTTTTCTTTTTTATACATTTCTGTATTTTTTAAGTTTTCTCAGAGGTATAGCGAGGGGCAGGGCAGAGGGGAGGACTTGCTCCCAGGGCACAAGCCTAAGGGGGCACCAGACAAGGTGTGGAATGACATTCCAAGGCATCACAAATATGAAAGGCACCTTGACTGAGGCAGCTGAACAAGAGGGGGGAAGGCATTTCTGCTTACGCACTGCAGCTAGTTTGGGGGTGGGAGGGACACAAGAGACTGTCCCTGGGCACTTGAGTTGCAGGGGGGAGGGGGAACAACTTAGAAATTGCCCCTGGGCGCTTGTTATCCTCCTTAGGCCCCTGAGTTTTCTACAATGAATAAGTATGATATTACAATAAAAAAAAAAAAAACACAGGCTATTAAAAAATTCCTCTGATGCACTGGTCATTAGAATGCACTTGGGTATCATAATATGTGGGAACAATATTATTTGGTTTTTATCTTCTATGACTTTTTAGAGTACATATTCTTTTGGTAATAAATGTACATTCCCTATTTGTTTATACTGATATAACACTTTAATAAAAAGGTAATAATATGACTACAGCATTTTTTGCTTCATAACCTTAACAAGTACTGGCATTGACATCTAGGTTCTATTTTCCACAAGATTTTACAATTAGTATCCTTTTATTTTTTAAGGCTTACTGCATACATACATTATATGCATGCTTTCTAAAAAAATGATTCTAATTTACAATTTTTCTACATAAGGAAAAAAATAGTTATGGTAGTTAAAAAAAAAAAAAGCTATAGTCTTGTCCATCACAAGCATGCTGATCAGCGTAAACACGTTTATTAAATGAAATGTATCCTTTAAGAATTAAAAAAGAAGTGGGGGAGCCTGTATGTAAATGAAGTTGTGGATTCAATAAGTCTGACTGGCACCAAACCACGCAAAACCTTTTAAAGGCTAGTTAGTGTCATCTAAATGGACACTCCAGAGTCTATTCATGAATTCCATTATAAGGATTCCACTTTCTACTTTCCAAAGGAATGGGGATCAGGATGAGAGTTGCCACGTAAGCTAATTTTCAATATATGTCAAGTGTTGTGGGGTCCAGGAACAAATACTGCCGTTGGTTAGTGTTTAAGTACATGAGTTTATTTTCTTCCTCTCTCACACCCCACCTTGCCCTTGCAATTTGGTAGGGGGAGGCTTCATCCCTCCATGGATGATGGTCAGCTTTTCATCATTAGTTTCCTTTCTAAACCACAGAGTGGTCATTGTTATGAACTCCAGCCAAGATGGTGTGGTTGAGGGAGGAAGCTGAGCGGTCGGAGCCTTCCGTGGGGCCGCTGGTCTCACTGCGCTGGCAGCAGAGGATCTGTCGGAAGGTGGCACTCATCTCCTTGTCGCGGTAGGAGTAGATGATGGGGTTCATGGCAGAGTTGAATTCAGCAAGGAGAAGGAAAAATTTCTCATAGGCCAGAACATTACACTGTGGACAGCACACGTCTAGAAGTAACAAGACCAGTCCAGGAGTCCAGCAGATGATAAAGGCACCTACAGTGACATGGACAGGGATCAGGAGGATTCAAAAAGAAGAGAAAAAAGAAAAAGAAAAACTATAATTATGAAACAAGTGACCATAAAGACTTTCAGTTAGTGATCTAAACATAAAAATACTGAGATTCAAAGCTACTAATCATTTCAAATCAAATGTTCATTTTCTGAAATAATCAGAAAAAGTTTTAATGATGACAAAATAATAAAACCTCATTAATTCAGATACTACTAAAACTGAGTATTTATGAGATACTAATGATGACTATTTTGAGCAAAATATGAAGAGTTTGACAAGCAATTGAGACATAAAAACTGCATTCAAGAGACATATTTCACCACTTATGAAGACACTGTTTGTAATGGCATACAACTGTTTTCAGGTAAAAGATAAGCATTAATTACAAATGTCCCTTAATGTGTAGTTAAAGCTCAGTTTCTGAATTCAGGTTGCCTGGGCTCAAATCCTTGCTTTGCCATTTAATAAACTGGGTAAACTTAGGGAAATTACTTCTCTTACCTCAGTTTTCTCATCTGAAAAATACAGAGGATCATATTTACCTCATTAAGTTTGTTATAGGGATTAGATGATTGCTAAGGAAATAATTACTCAGTGTATATTAGCAACAACAATATTGTTATTATCTGCTCAGTAGCATAGGCCTATTAGGAAACAGTAATTTCCAATAACGTGTATGTTTACTTTTATTTTTATTCAACAATCACAATAGTTTTTCTATGGTTTTCCAAGTATTAACTCATGTAATCTTTACTATAGCTGTATGATATAGAAACTATTATTCCCATTGTACAGATGAAGAACATGAGACCCAGAAAGGTTAAATAACTTGCTCAAAGCCACAGTACTAGAAAGTGGAAGACAGGAGACCAATCCCAGAGCTTCTGCTATTAGAGGCTGCCATCAGAGTCCATGTTCCAGAAAATACTGCATTATACTTCCACTTCTTGAAACTAATAAAATTAAATATATTAAACTAAATTTTATGCTTTAGCTGTTTTACTAATCTAGATCAGCTTCGTTCTCTTTCTTCCCCAACTATCCTAACTGTAAGAGTAATGGAAATATAGATTAGATTCTTAACTCCATTTTATTTAGTTCTTGAAATCACTCACATTGGGCTCCTAGTGAAACAGTATTAAAAACCTACCCTACTATTTGCTGGGATTCTTTGGCTGAAAGGACATGAGCCAACGGGACCCATGGGCACCATTATGCCCCACTACATGTCACCTAACAGGCACCATATGTGTAATCAGGCTACACAGTGAGCACGCAGGGAATAAGGATGATCCAAGTGGGCCATTGGAATCTTTGTATTTAAATGGAGGGGGGCCTAGGTGGACACAAGCTTGGACTGGGGTCTTGGATTTGGACTTACCTCAAGGAACGAGTTTTACAAAACGTAAACAAATGAGATTTAGTCTCCAAACAGCCCAGTTTTGAATGTGAGCTTTCTTTTTTGAACTTTTTCAGAAGGGAAATGAAAATAAAGAATGGAGAAAAGTACCCCCATAAAGCTCTTTGTTCTACAACACAAATGCGTATTGGTTTTAAACTGCTGTTCACTTTGAAGACAGTCCAAGGTGCTTCATTTTCTAATAAATACAATACCTTAGACTTTCCTTAGAGAGAAAAAAAATATTTCAAATATCAGGAGATAATAGCCAAGAAGCTATTTGAACTTCAAGAGAAAATGTTAATAAAGCATTCTTTCCAAGTCCTTGAGTTTCCTTGCTTGAAAATCACTCAGAAAGCTAAACATAAAGGAAAATCAAAGGAATGCCTCTTGGGTTTCAGAAATAATGCATTATTCATTGAGAAGCCAGAAAAGGAATTATTCTCAGGGTGGAAAATGCTTGGATGGAAAATGCATGGTCCCATTATTCCATTTACTCAGAAACTAAAAACACACTGGCCCTTCATGAATGGGAGAGCATTCTTTAAAGTTTCTTTTCCCTTTTCTTTTATCAAAGCTCTAATTGAGTTCAAATTCAAAGCTGGATTAGATACCAGCGACATGCATCTCAATAGATTAATTTTAAATAAAATGATCATTTTCCCCTTCCAGGAGGCAGAAAGTGAGCATCCTTATTCTTAACGTATTACTCAAGTCATCTGACTTTGTTAAAAAATCACAAAATTCAAATACAGTTATTTGTTGTTTATAAACCTACTGCTGTCGAATCGATTCTGACTCAGAGCAACCCTACAAGACAGAGAAGAATTGCCCCATACGGTTTCCAAGGCTGTAATCTCTATAGGAGCAGACTGCCACATCTTTCTCCCACAGAGCAGCTGGTGGGTTCAAACCACTGACCTTTCAGTTAACAGCTGACCGCTTAGCCACTGTGCCACCAGGGCTCCTTGTTTGTTGTTTATAGTTTCTTCTAATTTTAAAATTCAGAAAGAGCAAAGTCTTTCCAAAGAGAATCATTGGTCTTAGAAACTAGTCTATAGGCCTTTCTTTTAGACCAAAACTGCAAGAAGCCTTGCTAGATTGGAGACAGAAGTGAGAAACTCCATGACCTGGCACACGAGTTAATATATGTGAACACTTCACTGAGGAACTTGGAGTCCTCTTCCTTCTTTGCTAAAAGAAACTGTGTTTTAGTGCTGTGATTAGGCCCACTGCACTGTCCCAACACTCTGTGTTTAGATCTTTAAGACTCCATCAAGTAATTAAGGGAGTCACAGTACAGTCCTCAGAAAATCAACATCTAAAACGAATCATATGGAGTTTTCCCCTCTTCTCCCCATCTTCTCTTTCACACAGGTGTCAAGGATCAAACTGACCAAAGGTGAGAATGCACTAACAAAAGAGAAAACAGGGCCTTGAAAATTCCAGGATGATTATGCTTGTAATCAACACTGAGTAACTATTCTGAAATCAAGTTTGCTCAAAATATGAATTTTCCTATGCTTCTAAAAACAAAACACAAGCCATACTCAAGATCCTTTAGTAATAATTAGTCCTAACTCAGTCAGATGGTAGGATTTGAGATGTGCATCGGAGACCCTCTTAGCACATAATCAGTAGAGTCAAGTGCAAATATGTAAGAGGGTTAATAAGAATGAAAGGAACCTCCATCTTAGCATCTATAAACTAGAGATGTAATAGCTTCCTACCTACTTCATATAGTGTAGTGAGGATCAAACTAGGGCTTTGAACCAGTGCCTTCAGGTTCAAACCCCTGCCGAGAATTTGCTTTTCTAACAAGTTCCCCGCTGATAATTTGCATTTCTAACAAATTCCCAGGAAGTTATACATAAGAATCACCTGGGGATCTTGTTAAAATGTAAACTGATTCAGTTTATCTGGGATGGAGATGCAAATTCTCAGTAGGGAACTTGTTAGAAATGCAAAATCTCAGCAGGGGTTCAAACTGAACTAAAGCCCTGCATCAAACTGAGATATTATATGTAAAAGCCCATGATAAACTGCACATCTACCTGACTACCACCACCTACTGCCATTGTGGGTGGCATCAATGCTTGAGGGCTAGTATAACACAGTAACAGGGCAAATGTCCTCCAGGGCAGAACGTGGAAGCATGTTCTGAGCAGTGGATACCTGGCATTACAAAAAGCTCCGAGATGATACCAGTCTAATTATAAGAGCTTCACAGGACTCACAGTTGGGTGACAGGAAGGTAACAAGAAAGAAAAGGAAATGGGAAACAGAGAAGCACAGAAGCTCCAAACCATTTTGGAGGTTCTCATGGAGTCAACTCAAACCTACTAGGGGTTTCTTGGATCTCAGAAGCTACCAAGATGGGGAATAACCTAATACGGTACTTAGTAGGGCCAGTGTTTTAGGTAGTTTGTATATTGCCAGCACATTTCTGATGGACGAATTCCCAAAACTTAAGGCATAAAACCTAGAAACGATATGCAACAGTATGAAAGTAAGGTGAAATACAAGTAGTTCAGGAGTCCCTGGGTGGTGCAAATAGTTACACACTGGACTATTAACCAAAGGGATGGCAGTTCAAACCCACCCAGAGGCACCTCGGAAGACCAGCCCGGTGATCTGTTTCCAAAAGGTCATAGCCTTGAAAACTCTATGGACAAGCTCTACTCTGCACACACGGTGTCACCATGAGTCAGAATCGACTACGTGGCAACTAACAACAAGAAGTAGTTTATTACTGATTGTAAAGTCAGAAGCAGAAGCGACAGATGATAAGGTGTTCGAGGTCATAAAGGCTTTCTATATCTGGCTAGAGCATTTGAAGTTTTCTAGTCCAGCACTGGTTCTCAAGCCTAGCTACACATTATAATAGTCTGCTAAGCTTATAAAAAATAATGATCCATGTTCACTCCTTTGCCCATGAGATTTTTATTTCATTGCCCTCATTGGCCAGATTTTCATTTAATAAAGAACACTGGTGACAGAGTGGAAGAAGACAATGATCTCAGTAAAGGCAAAAATATCAGTTATTTCCAAATTCCAGAGGAGAAATAATGAGAGCCTGAGTCAGGACAGTGACAAGGGGGGAAGAGATGTGTGGAAAGATTAGAAAAGTATTTAGGAGATGGACTGCATGAGACAGATGAGAAAGAGGGAAGAGTCTAGGCTGGCTCCTAGATTTTCCACGTGGGTGAAGAAAGAATGGTGTTAAGTTTCACTGAAGGAGGAAGCACAGGACAAAGTGTTAGTTGGTGTTTTGTGAGGGGAAGTGAGAAGAGTAAAGATGATGACCTCGATTTTACATATTTTAGTTTGAAGCACCTGCAAGCATCAGATGATGATGCTTTAAAGATATCAAGCTAAGTTCATGACAATTTGAGTTCTGGGAAATTTTCTCTCAGTGTGTGGAACAAAAGTGGTGAAATTCTGCATGATTTGCCAAAATTAAAAGTAACACGGTGAGGAGGATATTAAAAAAAAATATCTGTGGGAAGGAATAAATAGCAGAAGTTGCTCTTCCTAGAGCAAGCTTCATTCTTTTCTTGTGCATCTGACAAATCAATCTGT